GAAAACAGGAATTTATTTTCTTGAAGTTCAGGAGGAGTTAACCAAATGCAGGGTGCCAGGATCAGGGACTGTTCTCTCTGGGGACTCCAGAGGAAGGTCCTTATGTCCTTTAGCTTCAGTTGCCCCTGTGTTGATCCACCACTCCTGGGCAATGTCCAAAGGCCGTCTGTCTCCTCCCTGAACCCGTTCCTGCTGACTCGTCTCCTCACCTGTGCTGCCTTTTATGTCACTCAGAAGTGATGCCATTCTGGACACTGCTGTGGCCTCATTCACATAGCAAAGCCCCTCTTTCCAAATAGGCTCACATGCACAGGGATAGGCAACAGGACTCCGACATGGATTTGGGTGTGGGGGGAAGGCCCACCGTTCAGTTTATAACACCTGGGAATGCCATGTTTCCCTGACTCATGTGTGAGGGTAGGGGGGAGTACTGGGGGGAAGATGAGAAGCCCCCCCACACACACGGGTCGCTCCTGTTCTGGACGTTGACTTGTCTTTCCACCTGATGAAGAGAAACTTGTTGAAGCCTCCTCTAAGAAAGACCTTTGCTCTCCACACACACGGCCCCACATACTCACCCTCTCACACACAGATGCCTACACACACACACCCCTCCTCAAGCACTCTCCTCTCCTTGTGGAACTGGAAGCCACGCCCTCGGTCCCACGAAAAACAAAAACAAATCCCTGCTTTTGCCATGAATGTTTGTTCTCTGGCCTGGTCTCAGTGACCTTGAGCTGCTGGAACATCAAGGCCACACATGGGCAGCTTTCCCAAACAGAAGTGTGTTGTCTCACGGCCTGAAGGCTGAACATCCAAGCCCGCGGGCCTCCACGTTATCGGCCCTCCCTCGTCAAGAGCCTCAGCATTTATTGCCATTCCGTGGATCTTAGACAGTCCTCACTTGACACCTACCCAGAAGTGATTAACTGTAGAACCCACCCTACTGGTATGATCTAATGAACATAACAGAGAAAACTCTATGTCCAAATAGAATCACGCTTACAAGAATCATGCCTACAATACATGGATTTTGGAGGGCTGAGTGATAATGTTCTCTAACATAAAATGACAATGATGTCTCTAAAGTAGACCAGAGACATATAGAAACCATCGATGGATGGATTCCATCTATGGAATATAGACATATAGAAACCATGAATGAATTTGGGGCTTGTTCTTAATTCTAGCTCCAATCTAAGAACGATTAGTTCTTCTGACATGGCCCTGCTTGATGCTCACCCTCATGAAGAGTTCACTGAAGTTATTTATGGGTGCTATAGCAAAGTGTAGTGAAGAAACTAGATGGTGCCCACCTGTCATAAAGAGTAGTGTCTTGTGTCTTAAAGGCTTGTTTTCAAACAAGCAGCCCACTAAGTTGTGATGGTGCTAAGAGAGGCATCTACTAAGTCCACAGGGGAGAAGCACACCAGCCTGCGTGCTCCAAGGATTGTAAATAATGTAATCCAAATCTACAGGAGGGAATGGCATCAGAGCTTAAACTGAACACCTGGTGTGAAATCTATTTGCAGTATCCACATGTGGATTAAGCCTCCAAGGAATCCCCTCCCATCATAGTTCAGGGATGTGAATAAATCCGTTCTCGGACAGAGACAATTGCACAGTTGATTATGGCAGACCTAGTTAAGCCAAAATGTACTATCTTTTCATTTTATCTCCCATTTGACTCATCTTAAAGCTGTTCAGTTTTTTAAAAAAATTTTTAAGTGGAGGAGTGGCGGAATATACATGGATTAAGCCCCAAGTGAATCCCCTCTGACAGTGGGCCAGGAATTGGAAAGTGAATGAGGGCAGATGCAGTCAGGTTAAAATTTACAGCTTGGCATGTGATCTCCCTTATGTCACACTGAGATTCAGTCTAGCTTCTCATATTTTCTGCTTTCTTTTCCATTGAGGTTTTTACCTGTTTTGCTTTTTAATTCTTGTTTAGTTAGTTTGTTTAATGGTTTTCTATATATGAAATCCAGGATAGGTAAGTCTATAGAGACAGTAACTGGATTCATGGTTCTTTGCAGGCATGGCAGGGGGTGTGAAGGGGAAATGGGGACCTAATAAGGATGAGTACAAGAAAGTGGTGATGATTGTACAATTCTTCTTCATGTGATTAGACTTTTGAATTCCATATTCTAATTATATGCCAATAAAACTGTTGGGGGAAGCAACTATGGCCTAGACAGCACTATGAGGCAATTCGACTTTGTAAACAGTGGTGTCACTCTTGAGTAAACACCCATCACAACAACATCAGCCTCGGTTACCTCAAAACCCACCAACCCTCAGAGGCCTGCAGAAAGCAATGGCTACTGGACACTCAGAGTTAAAATCCTGCACGTGACTGCAAGCACCTGGCTTCTGGCTGGTACAGTGCAGGGGCAGGGGGAGTGGGGGCCTCAGCCCACCCCAGCAGCCCAGCCTAGGAATCTTCTGATGGTATTGGTAGAGGGTCAAGAAATGTAGCAATCCACTGGAGGCCAAGCTTTCAGAGGGACATGACATTATTTCCCTGGCATTCTATTGGTCAAAACAGACCATACGGCTGCCCAGGTTCCAGGGACAGGGAGGCAGACTCTGCCTCTTCAATAAGGGTGACTGCAAAATTGTGTACCTTGGGATAAGGATATGGGGATTGATGAAGAACTGGGGCAAAGAATACAATTGTGTCTACTCAGGGGTTGAGAAACAGAGCCATAGTTTAATGCAGTGCTTCTCAACAGTAGCAAAATGACAGTGATGAAGTAGCAATGAAAATAATTTTATGGTTGGGGGTCACCACCACATAAAGAACTGTATCAAAGGGTCACAGCATTAGGAAGGTTGAGAACCACTGCGATTGAGGCAAAGGTCTGAATGGATGCGTAGTTCTACAGAAGCAAGGTCATGTGGGGGTGTTGTTGTTGTTGTTGTTGTTGTTGTTGTTTTTCTTGTTGATTATTGCACTCTTGGTTTGGAGATTTTTTAAAAACAGAAATGCCTTCTTGAGAAAATGCCCTCCTGCTTTCTGCCAGGTATGCACCTCCAGCCAGGTAAATGGTGATCTCTTTCCAGCACGATGGCACCACTGGAAGGGCAAGGCTGATGGAACCAAAGAGTACTGGGAGCACCTGTGTGACATTGGGTGACTCATCTGTGGTCATTGCGCCATTGCATGGCGTCCCCTCTTCCCGGTCAGAGTTGGAGTGAACTTCAACCCGAGCGGCTCATCTTCCAACCGTCTATCTGACAGTGCTCCAAAGTCATCCATCCCTATCATTGTCACTGGCCAATTAAGTTACTTTAATTTCTTTGAAGTAGATCACCAAGCCTTTCTTCCTAGTCTTAGTTTGAAGTCACTATGGAAACCTGCCCGCCGCTGCTGGCATTTGAAATACCAGAAGTATAGTTTCCAACATCACAGCAACTGAAAAGTCATCGTGGTATACCAAGGAGGGAAGTTGAGAATACTGAAATATAATGTACATGGAATGAGTCCTCCACCCATTGTAAGAGCACGTGACAGTGCATACAGCATGTTTAAAACAAACTCACTGCTGGCGAGTCAATTCCAACTTGTAGGGACGCTGTAGGACAGGGCAGAACTGCCCTTAGGGGTTTCCAAGACCGTAACTCTATGTGAGCAGAAAGACTGGCCTTTCTCCCACAGAGCAGGTGGTGGTTTCAAACTGCTGATCTTGTGGTTCACAGCCCGGCACATACGGGCTCCTTTGCCCCCAAATCATGAAATGGAACATTCCCATCCCTGATGGCCTCATAAGTTCCACATTGGCCTGCTAACTGCAAGGTCAGAAGTTCAAAACCACGGGCCATTCCTTGGATGAAAGATGAGGCTTTCTCCTCCCATACAGATCTGCAGGCTGGGAAACCCACGGGGGCAGTTCTACCCTCTCCTGTGGGGTTGCCCAAAGACAGAATCAACCCGAAGGCGGTGAGTTTGTTTGGTTTTGTTTTAGCACCCCAGAAGCTTCTCTCCCGCCTCTTCCCATTCCACCCACAGGCCTGCTCTCTGTCTACAAAGGGTCCTTTGTCACCACGTCATTTCACTTCTTCGGGCTCAGTGCCTTCATCTGTAAGACAGGGTGTCAGAGCGCCTTGCCTTGTTAGAGGGCCGTTTGGCCCTGAAATGGGGATACAGTGTACCCACACAGGACCCCAATCCAAAACCCTTAGTTTCCTATTCACAGGTAGCCCCATCTGTTTCCACTTTGGGGAAAGGAAGCAGAGAAGCTGAGTGAGTGGAGAGGCTTCCTCAAGCAGGTTAAGGAAGTCAGATGGGCAGAGTTAGAATAGAGCAGGGTACTGGCCGGCGCACTACTTAAATTCAGATGACATGAAAGGAGAGAGAGGCATTGTTGTGTAGGTGTCAGCTTTGGTTTTTTCAGTGGTGGTCTTGTGTGCAACCCTCAGGGGGTTGCTAGGCTGTAATCTGAATAGGAGCCGACCGTTGCATCTGTTCTTCCACGGAGTTGCCTGCTGATGGGTCTGAAATGCCAGCCTTTCCGTGAGCAGCTGTGGGTACCATCTTTCCAGGGCTGGCTTGCAAACCAAAACCTGTAACTCAAGGGAGAGAGATGCACATGGTCCACAGAGGTGGTGCCCCACCCAGTGATGGCTCCTCCCATGCACACACCCCTCCCTGCCCCTGACTGGCCCTCCTGTGTGATGGAGTTGCTTGTCCACGTTGCCTCCGAAAGCACTTTTTCTTTGTCATAACGAGGGTTGGTCAGCAAAGCCTCTGCCATTGTTCTCAGGGACCGGGGGCTCGCTTCTCGGGTGATGGGCACCGTGCCCTCCCTCACTGCCACGTGAAATCTGTATTTCAATGTGCAATGAACGGTGTGACTACCCAGAGATTGCCCAGAGATGGCGTGCCAATCAGTGATGACCTCCAGGGTGGCCAGGGCCCTGTGGACGGGCTCCTGGGCCCCTCGCACCCCCTCTCACTCACCTCCCCGTTCTCATGCCCCACCTCCCCTCTCTCTCAGCTCCAGAAGCAGCTGTCGGAGCTGGACGAGGATGACCTGTGCTACGAGTTCCGTCGGGAGCGTTTCACCGTCCACCGGACCCACCTGTACTTCCTGCACTACGAGTATGAGCCCGCGGCGGACAACACGGACGTCACCCTGGTCGCCCAGCTCTCCATGGACAGGTCAGGCAGCGGGGGGGCCCTCCCCACTGCTCTCACTGGGAAGCAAGAGGACCAGCCTCACAGACCGGGCCGATCGAGGCTGGAAGGTGAAGCGTGGGGGGCGGGGGTGTATTGGAGGGAAACAGGCCGCCGGAAACCTCAGCCACCAAGAGAAACGACTGCCCGTGGTTTTCAGTGTCATCGTCGTTGTGAGGGCCACGGAATGAGTTCCAGCTCAAAAGTGACCCTAGGCGCAGCCGACCACAACCCTGCCCGGTCCTGCACTGTCCTCGTTATTGTTTGGTTTGGGCCCGTTGTTGCCCCCACTGCTGTCATTGCATCTCTCTGAGGATCTTCTTCTCTTTCACTGACTCGTGGCTCCCCGTGGCTGCCTTAGCCCCGGCTTCCTGCATGTCCTTCCACCTCAGTCCCCCAGGTGAGGGAGTGAGCTTCCCTGTTGCATTCTGCCCCGGGAGCAGCTGTGGGCATGTGTGGATGGGACGTCAAGGGTGGTGTTAGGGAGTAAATGAGTCAGTGCCTGACAAGTGCTGGGGACAGTACCTGGCACATAATAAGTGCTCAATAAATGCCAGCTAGCGCTAGGCGTGGGTCACTGGGAATGGGACAACCATATGAAGGAAGGGGCTCTGAGCCATGAAAACTCACTGCTACCAAGTCCATGCCAACTCTTAGTGACCCTGTAGGGCAGGATAGGATGGCCCCTGTGTATTTCCGAGACAAAACTCTTTCTCAAAATTTCTTTGAAATAAATCATTGATTGGGGGCTCTTGCAGCTCTTATAACAATCTATACATCAATTGTATCAAGCAGTACATGTGCTGCCATCATCATTTCCAAAACATTGTCTTTCTACTTGAGTCCTTGGTATCAGCTCCTTTTTCCCTCCCTCCTCCACATTCCCATTCTCATGAACCCTTGATTATTTATAAATTATTTTTATTTTCATATTTTACACCATTGCTGTCTTCCTTCAGCCACATTTCTATTGTTCATTCCCTCCCCCAGGGGGGTTGTACATTGATCAGTTCCTCCTTTCTCCCCTTTTCCCCCCCACCTTTCCCCCTACCCTCATGGTATCACCATTCTCAATATTGGTCCTGAGGGATTTATCTGTCCTGGATTCTGTGTGTTGAGAACTCTTATCTATAGCAGTGTACATGCTCCGATTTATCCAAATTTGTCAGATAGAACTGGAGTCATGGTAGTGTGTGTGTGTGTGGGGGGGGGCGGGAATCATTAACGAACTATAGGAATGTTGTATGTTTTGTTGGTACTATGCTGCACCATGGCTGGCTTGTCCCTTCCTTGTGACCATTCTGTGAGATGTCCAATTGTCTACAGATGGGTTTGGGGGTCTTCTGATGCCTGATAACTAATCCCATCGGCACCTTGGGATCACATGGGTTGGTGTGCTTCTTCCATGTGGGCTTTGTTGATTCCCTGCTAGATGGCCATTTGTTTATTTTCAAGCCTTTAAGACCCAAGATGCTATATCTTGTAATAGCCAGGTACCATCAGCTTTCTTCACCACATTTGCTTATGCACCCATTTTGACTTCAGCCATCGTGTTGGGAAGTTGAGCAACACAGAGTACCAGGTTATTAGAACAAAGTGTTCTTGCATTGAGGGAGGACTTGAGTAGAGGCCCAGTGTCTGTCTGCTACCTTAATACTTAACCTATAAATATATGTGCATAGACCTATATCCCTATTTTTATATATAAATACATTTACATATGTACATGCCTATGTTTATACATCTATAAATGTCTTTTGTCTCCTAGTTCTTTCCTCTATTTCCTTTTACTTTCCTTCTGAGATAGTTTATTGTGCCAGCCTGGCCGATAAACACAAGTGGGATTAATTGAAGGG